GACAGATTACTTGCACTAAGGCTTTGTAATACTTTCAACATGAAGTCATCTCTGCAAATCACATCTGATTATTATCAGAATTCTAATTACAGGGCTGCTAACACATGGTTCACCTAGCTCCATCAAGTCTACCAAGTAGCATCTTTAATTCATCGGTGCAACTCAATCAAATATTTGCAAATAATACAGGATGACCTATCTAAAATGAACGTCAAACTGCTGAAAAGCTCTTAGCTAACATTCCTGACACCTCCATACTCCACCCCAATTCTCACTTAAGGGTAGAGTTGACACCTTGAAAATTTCAACACTGAAGCAGGAGGTAATTTTTAAGAAAGAAAGTCTGTAAAGTGACTTTTCCTATATCGACACAATCCACCAGGGAGGGAGAAGACTATTTTCAATCAACACTAACCCCAGCCTTATTTAAGAAGAGAAATTGTACCATTTTCTATCTTTATCTGACTAAGCCAAACAAGTAAAGCTTTTCCAGTTTCCTCCCCAAGGTTCTCCACTCCCTATGCATCCTTATAGCCCTTTTCTTGTATTATGAAACTCGCCTTCCTTGAACATGATGAGAACTGCTCACAGTGTGTCAGATGACATCATCTCTCAGCCTTGCACAATACAATCAATATGTTCCTATTTCTCCTGGAAGCACCTTGTGTGATACAGTCCAGGCTGACACTTGCTTTCTTCACTTCTCAAACTGTTTCATGCCCCAATTCAACATCAAGTCTGCAAACTCTGCAATGAAATTCAACACTTCTTATTCCTATCTGAAGTTCTACAATGTTGGGGCAGGGGGTTGTTTGAGATTTTTTCCACCTGGGGTAACAAGGTTAGAATAAGAAATCAAATTTCCTACTTTAAACAAGCTGTTAAAAGAAACTGAATTATATTCCTTCTGATACTTGATAATCATAAGCTCCATGCACTAGTCCTGATGAAAGCGTTACTAAAAGGCTTAGTATACCAGGCTTTGGATCTTCAGTGATAGTTTTTTAAGCACTTAAATTCTATAATAGTACAAGCCTTTCTGACTGCTAGATGCTTGTTTAATTTTCTGCTCTTCCTTGGAAGTTCAGTGGTGGAAAGGATTCCAGTTTAGATCTTTCCTCAAAGGGCCATAAAGTACAAGAGAAACCAAAGGATAAGAGAAGGGGACATGCTGGAACTGATTACACACATATATTCTAGGAGCAAAATGACACCAAATGACTGTATGTTAGTGCAGCAGATTTTAGACTGTCACAAGTGCAAACAATTTCCTCTTCCTTTATAACTGCTAGATCACTTCATGAAGTTCACATAAAATAGAGCACTGGCCATCTACCTCAAGCACACACCGCAAGACATTCTATTTATTAAAGTAACAACTGTGAAGCTTTTTCAAGAGCATTTTCACATTTTGATGCTGGCTGGTTAAGACATCACCCCACCACTCATGTATTCAAGCTACCTGCACATCAGGCTGGAGCAAAATTAGCAAGATCAACCGAAGGATATGAAGCTTAACATGTTTCCAGCTTAATAATCCTGCACATTTATTTCTGCATGATGGTGCCTGTTAAGACTCCAGTCTTTATAAACAACATTTCATCTCAGATGAGATGAAGAATAAAGAGCTGGATATATTGTCACAGCCCTCATCAATCAACTTTCAAAATGCCAAAGACTATATTTAAGGCATTGATTTCTTACAGACTGCTATGTTCCCTAGTTTTTTCTAAAAAGCAACGTGGCATTAAATCCCTTGAAAATACAAGTGGCATTTCAACCCAGGTTCTTCCCCATTTCAGAAATATTACATTGCAAGGAATTGTCAGGCTCATTTCCCTGGATTTGAGGAACTGCTATTTTAAGTCTGTGAACCAAAGGGCTCAATTTTGTTGGAAAGTTAACATGGCCTCATCCAGAACATCTTTATATGTTGTGTAAAAACTAAATGCACCTCCATTTTCACTTTTGCCAGGCCTCTTTTAACAGGCTTGCTTTTGAGTCTCTGAGCCTTCCCTTTAATGGGCTAAAAGCTAACTTAGTGGTCTGATCCATATGAGCATATGGGCCTTAAAGCAAAGGCCTGAAGTTGAAGATGCATTTTGGATTTGGTAAGGCCATTTATCTTTTGCTGGCCTAATTCAGTAAGGTGGGCATGTCTGCTGAAAACAGATTTCACAAACAGTCTTGGAAACTCAGGTCTGAAACCTCCTACAGGGAAACCATAAATAACAGGAATGGCAATAAACACCTCACTCAGCAGAAACAAACCAAACCAAAGACCAAGCAAAAATACCTTCACAAAATGTCCCCTTCATTTGAGTTGACTCTCTGAAGGGACACTGCTCAACTGTGACTGGAGCATGGTATGAATCCCAGGCACTTCAAATCTTTCTGCCCAGAGAGGGAAGGAGTTAAGAAAAATGATTGTGGTGCTTTGCACAGTAGAAACTATGGGTGCTTACAGCAGACATGCACTTCAAGTCTCATTGGAGCCTTGGTTAACAGGATGCTGCACTGCACTGACGTAGTCCCCAGCCAGGCAATGCCTTTCCAAAGTTTCTGGCTCATACCTCGTTCATTCCTGGTGATGGAACAGCTCCCTGCACTTGAGACGGTTTTTCCCTTTATCACCGCCTTCAAGGTACCTTGTCCTTAAATTTCCACCAGGCAATGTCAAGACCCTTACAAGCTGTCCCTACCAGAGCCAGCCCTCTCACCTCTAATGAGACAGGTTTAAAGCCATAAGACCTGCCCTCAGCAAGCCCATCCTTCCCTCAGGGTGGAACAAAACCATGCTGATGACTTCTGCACACCACATTCTGCAGAAGGTTTTGCCACTAGTCGACAGGCACATCTGATAAAAACACACTCTGTGTCATAGAAACAAAGTAGTTGCCATAAAGGTCAAAAAGCTACATGGCATCCATAAAAAAACCTCAAAATGCCTAAAACCCAAAACTGTTGGGCACACGTGGTGACACGAATGACTGAATCACAATTTATGAGTCTTAAATGCATCAGATAAGGTACAACATGCTTGTGTGTAAAAGTGATTTTCTTGTTAGTCTGTCAAATGTACTAGACTTGCTTCTTAGAGGATAATGATTTAACACCTATTCATAATCTTAAATAGCTGAAATATATTGGGAGACATGATGTCATGTATGTATGGCTGCGAAAGTTATTTATTTGCCAAATATTAAGGGATGTATTTCTGGACATCTTAACTACATACTAGAGAAGCCCATTACATTTACTTTTTTGCTGCAAACTGATAAAGAAAGAAAACCACCACCAACAAACCGAAACAAATAAAATCCATACACACATTGTTCTGGAATACTTGTTCAAAATAATGAGCTATTCCCATAGAAGAGTTTATAGGTATGAAACAAGCCATACGCTGCAATTTGCTGCATGACAAACCAATTACTGATATTAATGCCTGCCTGGACAAAAGTTGCTTAACTACTCAGAATATAAAAGTAATATTTATTATATTTGAACAAGTGGGGGGTTTTGCCCCCACAGGTGTGTGCCAGCTTAGATTGAGACATTTTACATTTCATCTCGTATTGTAAAAAGTGTTCTGTTTTCAAAATTATTGGCAGCATGGGATTTCTATGGCAACAAAAGCTACAAATAATAATGCATTTATATTTGTTGTTCGGGCAAAGCATGAGAGACTAAGTAACCCACTTTGAAATACATTTTAAGAACAGTGTATCTAGGAACCACATTTGCCTTTAAGGGTACACAGTAAACTTCAAAAGCACATCCCCTTTGACAATGCTGGAAGTCTAATAAGAAATGCTAAAGATCTTTTTATTCAAAGCTTTTTTGAAAGGAGCTTAGGTGGCTTTCATCTTCCCTTTTGCTTTCACAGAAAGGATAAGCCTAACTTTTGATGTGTGACTAGCAATTTTTGGATACTTACCTTCAGATATTTTGTAAGATATAATTTTTGAGATGTTTAGTACCTTGTGCACAAAAAAATAATCTTTTTTTTAAGGCACTGAAACTAGACACAAAATCATGGGCTCTTTCTGAGAATTTAGCTCTGTTCCCTAGCTTTTACCTATTCTACTTGTTTCCTGTTCCCGTTACTCACCATCCCCTATCACATGACTCCGGAAAGTCTCTCCCTGCCACCCAAAACACACATCCTCCACGGATAAGGACTTCATGTAGTCTTCATCCTGCTTAATTCCTACTTTTCCCCAGTCATACTTTTAGCGCTGATCAACATTTCCCTTCAAACTCATCTTGTACATACTCTTTTTTTTTTTTTTTTTTACAGTGAAGACAACACCTCTTGCCATAAGTAAATCACTCCCTTCCAAAACAAAGCTCATTCAGGTACAAATAACTGTAATTGCTGAAGAAAGGCACCTGAATCAACTACCTTCAATCACATGTTCAATTAATGCTTTCCCCTTCAAGGAAACACTTGGGTAAATGTATTTCCTCTTGAGAGAGAACAGTCACACCAATGTGGAAGCCACACAGGTTCTACATTTAGGAGCAAATATGGATCCAGCCAACACATTGCAAAGAAATTCTGGATAAAGTGAGAAATGGGATGGAAAGTGAAGCTAAGCTGTTTTGTTCCCTGAAGTTAAGGAATGCACAAATGTGTCTACTCAGATCTACAGTAACTACTGTTATGCAGGCACTCCTTTTTTTCCTTAGCTTATTTTCTTTCCTGTTAAGAACCACTGTAATTCAGATTGTGTGTCAATTACAAACCACCACACTCAATTATGAGTTATTGAGGACCAATAAATTTACAGAAGTACTTCTGAGTTTTGACAGAATCCAGGAAACCTTTTTTCTGGCAACACAGACAATGAACAAAAGATATTTGCCCTGGGACATCTTGCCAAGGAAAGACTAAAAAAACACTCCTGGCTGCAGGCAGTGAGAGTGTAGCACACTGTATAGTAGGACTATTACTCACTGAGTATAGTCAGTGATAGTCTGAAAAGTGAACATACCTCAGACAAATGGTAGGGTATCAGGGACTGAAGCTCACCAACAGTTTGTAGGGAAGTTAAAACATCAGTCACTTGATAAGTCTGTTATCAGAAGAAAAACACTTTAATGGTTACACTGGTAAAGGAAGGAAAAGGGAAATACTGGCTACCAAAATGAGGATAAAAGAATTTACTGTCCCAGCTCATGCACACATTATGCTTTTCATGATATCCTTTATTTTCTTTCATTTTTACCCTTTACTAGCGGCCAAAGCTTTGTGTACATGGCAAAACTAAATCACTGCTGACAAATGGGTGATGCCAAATGGGATTTCCTTTGTCTACACTTGTAACGAGAGACATACCCTGCTCTAGTTCAGCTACACCCCTCGTTGTCAACAACTGTCACCGGTGGTTCAATTTAGTTCATCGAGCAGATCCCAAACAATTTGGAAAGAACAATTTAAGCCAACTGGGTCCCACCCAGCTGCTCCAGAACACACATGCAGAACAGCCAATGCAATTTAAAAATTATTAGCTAAACGAACACTAAAAACCAGCGGATCTGGCAGAGGGATTGAAAGCATCTGAAGTTACTTAAATGTTGCGGCCGAAAAAATAAAAAACCACATCTGATTTATCAGTTCCCTGCATTACAGAGTCGCCCATTTCTCCATCACTTTGTCAGAGGAGTCTGTTGTAAAGAAGCTAGTGATAATATCAGTATCATAATTTTATTTATTTTAGATGAAAAATAATCACAAGCTTTACAAACTGGAAGAAAACCACCATAGCTAATTCGAAAGGGACTCTGCCGCTTGCCCTATAGAAAGCAAGCCCAATTAATGCAGATTGTACTGGTGGAGTCTACAATGACTTTAAATCATGTCAATATTCCCTCTCTCACTTTAAAAGCCAAAAGAATTACAGTCTGCTTGGATTAATGCAGCACACTGTCATTAGGCTGGCAATTAAATCCCATTTCTGAGATTGTGTGATCTGAGTCACCAACATCTGCAAATATCTTTACATCTTGTGTAATAGCTGGCCTCAGATCTTGATATACCAAAATAAAAAGGCCATTTTAATGGCTCCTACATTACTTTGGACTGAAAACTTCACGATGACAGCAGCTTCTCAAAACAGCCCATAAATCAAATTTATTATTCATTTTGTCATGTGGGGTTTTCTTAACTCTAAGCCAATAGAGCAACAACAAATCAAGGTCAGTGTTTATACTGCATGAATAAAAATTAACCATGTGTTCAAAATTTTTTTACTCTGAAAGGTATTTGGTCTCAAGAACTTTTGACATATGCAGCATTCACCAATTCTTCTACACATCTGGGAGTATCTGAGAAAACACTCTCAAACAACATCTCCTCTCATGCCAGCCTGTCTTGACTTACAAAAAACAAAACAAAAACCTGTCAGCCATCCTACTGCTTTCAGCATCAGTAATCACGTATGAGAAGGACAATTCAATTGCAGGATGCTCATCCCAGGAATTAATTTAATCCCAAACAGTATAATTCAATATTTAAACAGACCAGTGATTTCCAAATGACGGTTTATTAGTAAAAGCAACAGCACAGGAAGACCTTTTTGCCACACAGATCAGAAACGAGACAGCATGTTATGGGCTTTGAAAACAAGCCTAGCTCTACAAATCCATTGAAGTACTACCTTCTCCAGCCATAGATGTTTCTTTCCTTAAATCAGAGCCTAACCATAAGACATAATAAAAGTATACTATATAGATCTAAATAAGGAATGCTACCTTTAAAAATGTCAGTAATCTTTCACTTCTTCAACAGTTTCTTGCAGCACTTGCCACACCAGAAGAACAGCCACTGTTTACGGCCAGGAATCACAGGGCATGACCAATAAACACGCAACCTAACAGCAACCACAACGAAAACCTGGAAACTTCGCTTGAAGTGCACACGTACAAAGTTTCTCTACGGAGGTTGCTTTGAAGCAGACTGCTGCAAGTGACCCACAAGTGCTGCAAGTGACCCAGAGCAAGCACCTGCACCCCCAGCATGCAGCCCCAAGCCCTTCCCCACCACAAGAGGACATACAACAGCACCTCCTTAATCCGCTTCACGAGCGCATTCTGATCAAAGGCAACGGCTTCTGCGCACTGGTGAAGGTGATCCTGGTAACGGAGACACAGCTGCAGCACCTGCTGGGGGTCCAGCTTTTCCAGCTTGGTGTTGGTTGGAGAGGTCTGCCCACTGAGGAGTCCTACAAAGCAAAGGGAGGACCAGAATTAATCTGACTGTTCAGATTAAGTTCAGCTGCGATCCAAGAGACAGCAGAGCAAACCCAGAAGAAAAGATTTATGAGGGGTAGTGAAAAACTAATTCAGAATAATTTATGGATGTTTCCAATTTATAGCAGTGCAAAGAACAGTTTGCCATACAGCCTAGCCTTGACAGAAACTAAACAGACTCTAAGTGCAGGTCCATAATGCACATCAGCTTGGATTTCAGGGATACATGAGTCCTGTTTTTTCTCCTCCACAAGCAATCCTAAACTGTGAAAAATGAGTCTTCTCCTAATTTATGTATGCCAGAAGAGGAAGGAGTTGAGATCTGCATTTCCATAAGGGCACTGGACTCAAACTATTTTCATAGAATCACACTGTCAAAACTAGAGCTCTAAAAATTCACTGGTCCCCCCAAACAAACCTGAATGAAAAAATGATCCACCTTAAGTTAATTTATTAGGTGAAATGTCTGTATTTTGTCCATCTTGCCTTTTTTAAAGCTTCAGAACTCTTTCACCTTCTAAGATTTTTCTTTACAATCTCGAAGACTAACAATGAACTTTTTTGTTTGTTTGTTTAATATGGAATTAAGATCCTTACCTACTTGCATGACCAGGTTCCACAAAAAGGCATTGGACTTAAAACTGGTAATATCCAGAGGAGCAGAATTATCCAGAGAAATTTCTCCTGCCCATTGATTGTTGCCTACATAGTGCATCTTGAGAATGTTTGCTGAGCTCAATCACATGTGTGCCATACTGACTGCTTTCCCCACAGCTGCTGAAAAATGATGCTAAGCTCTAAGGCCATCCTTTTTTTTTTTTACTACTTCATTTAGTTACTTTCATTTCATTTTTCTTCAGCATTAGCACAATCTTTTTCTTGTTGGGACACCATCTGTAACAAACTGCACATACACACAAATATGCTTTTCCCAAAACATCCATCAAGCTATGTAAACTGAATCCAGTGACTGCATGTATGTGCCTTCTAGGACTCTCATTTTACAGACCCACAGCAAATGTAAGCAAGTATTAAACTAAGCAATTAAAAAGTAATAAATGCCAGTTATTTGGATTGGAAAAGTTCTTCCAAGAATGTACCTCAGTGGGAAATGGAAAGCATTTTGAATGACTCCCTTGACTATTGGAGGCTACAACTGGTGACATCAAGTTCTAGCTAAAACCCAAGAACAATACAGAAACCAAGATGTAAGTCAGAAGCATCTTATGAATAGGAGAAAGTTAAAACTCTTTGAAAACATTTGAAGACAAAAATGAAAAAAACAACCCAAACTAGTGCAGCAACTTCATCGGATACAATGAAGTAGGTTTACTTTTCATCAACACTTAACATCTTATTCTCTCAGGATGCTCAGATACCCTCTGCACAAAATCTTAAGATGAAAAAAAGAAAAAAAGGTAATTTTGTTTTACTAACTTGTCCACTACAACTGTGCTGCCTCAGTCAAGAGGTCAGGAGAGTAAACAGACACTTCACCATTTAGTCTCAAACCCATGTATGAGCAACAGTCAAATTATTTTTTATGTTTTGAAAAGAATAATCTCAAACAAAATCTTGGGTTTATCAATATCAGTTGCAAATCTTTCAGCTAAAGTAAAAAGCTTTGATGGGAACAAACCCACTGAAGGAATTAAGACTTTTTAAAAATGTTCATGTTTTGTGTTCTAGTACTTCCTCATTTCATTAATTGTGATCTTCTATAATATGTTGTCAGGATGAATGTCCAAATAATGTTGTCAGCTTTTAATATGCTGAATGTTCACAGAGGAATGAAGAGTTCACCATACACCTGAGGCAGTTATCTTGTTTCAGCACTGATCAAATACGTGATGCTATCAACCAACTAATTTTCTTTTATAACTAATCTCTCACCAACTTCAAGAGGAAGAAGAAAATTAAACACTGTTTAGGAGATTTAATTAACTCAAAGTATGTACTTAGGCCAACTTATGCTGCTTGTGAGAATTTTGAAGAGGAATAGGCCAAGGACTATAAAATGAGCTAAGAAAGAACATGCTACTTAAACTTATGTACTTAAAACCTTTACAGGTTACATAATGCTAAAAGAAAAATTAATAAACTGTAAGAAGCCTCTAATTCCTTATCCAGAAAAACACAAGCTCAAGTGAAGGGAGACATTCCCTATTCAGCTGGAATTCCTTCGTAAGAAGGCAGAGGTGGAAATACAATCCAGTACAAATGTTTGGACTAGCAGTAAAAAACAAACATCATGCTGCTTAAAGATAGACTATGGTATTATTTTGGGAGATGCAGTAAGAAGAAACCAAAGTAACTAGCTTCTCCAAAGACCTCTGGGGTCATGCTGACAATGCCAGAGAACAGTATAGCTTGGTTTCAAATTGAAAGAAAGGAAAAAGTACACCAAACAGCAAAAAAAAGGCACAAAAAATTTCTGCAGCCTAGCAGAAATTCCTCTAGTCAAAAAGTCAATCCACCATTTTTTGTTGTTCACTGTAACTACTTACTACCCATGCTATAAGCACTAACATTTCTTAACTAACATTCCCCTCCCCTCCACTCTTGTGAGACCCCAGCTGGAGCACTGCATGCAGCTCTGGGGTCCCCAGCACAAGACAGACGTGGATCTGCTGAAGGGAGCTCAGATGAGGGCCACAAAAATGGTCAGAGGGCTGGAGCACCGCTCCTGTGAGGAAAGACTGGGAGAGCTGGCATTGTTCAGCCTGAAAAACAGAAACCTCCAGGGAGACCTTCAATATTTAAAGGGGGCTTGTGAAAAAGAGAGAGAGGGACTTTTTACCAGGGCCTGGAAGTGACAGGACAAGGGACAGTAGTTTTAAACTGGAAGAAATTTAGATTGGACATGAGGAAGACGTTTTTTCCAGTGAAGGTGTTGAGGCACTGGAACAGAGAAGTTGGATGATGTCCAGTCCCTGAAACTGTTCAAGGCAAGGTTGGATGGGGCTTTGAGCAAGCTATCTAGTGAAAGATGTCCCTGCCTGTGACAGAGTGGTTGGACTAGATGATCTTCAAAGGTCCCCTCCAACCAAAACAATTCCATGATTTTATTAATTCACTGTACTTTATTTTTTAGCAAGCCAGGAGTTTTGCTCCAAAAGAGCAGATAGTAACAGTAAGTCAGCTTGAAAACTGATGCAAGAGACAGTGCAACCACTCAAATCCCAGTGGGGTTTTACCAGGGAAACCCAGGGGATAGAAACGGATGCAGGGCTGGAAAGGACCTCTAGTGCCACAGAATCCAGATCTCTTCCCTTTCTCCTCTGCCCAGCAGCAGGCAGTGAGCCCAAATAGATTTAATGCAATATCTCCTCCATGAGCTCTGCACTTAAGAGACAGCAGTGTACTTCCCTATGCCAACGAAAAACTTGAAACCCACAGGAAAAATCCTGAACTAAAAGCAAGACACAGAAAACAGAAGGGAGTTGAAAAGGGTGTTGATGGTGTCCTTTCTTTCTATATTAACAGAAAGTTGAGGAGATATCTAAGAGGCTCTAGGAATTCAGCATCGAGAAAACTTGATTTTTAGAGGAGATGGTCAGCACTGCAAACCTTAATTTATATGATAATAATATAATGTATTATTAAACAACTGTCCTCTTGAAGATCATTGCTTTCTTCTTCAAGCATTTACCCACATTTTGAGCTCTCCACTGAACAGGGTCATCCCTCAGTGACTGCTTTACAAGCGGCCTGTAAGAGGATATGAGATCACATCTGTTGCAACAAAATATTTATTAGGTGGAGAAACAGAGATCACTGAATGGTCCAGGCTCGCTCCTGGAACATGCAGAACTTGAACCTGGTCACCAGCACATCTCAGAGCAACTAACCATTGAGGTACTACCTCCTCTTCACCGAGGAAAGGGTGTTCCTGTGATTTCTTCTGGGTGATTATCAATCCCTGGCCCTCAAGAGCACAGTTCTGCTCTTAAATGAAAACAGCATCTAAAGCTTTCATTTCTTATTAAATGGAATACTCATTTTTCAAGGTGTTGGGTTTCTTCCAAAGAAACCCCTTCCTTGGGTTTCTTCCAAGGAAGTACACCAGGAATCATCTCTGCACTGTCTGAAACCTTGAGAAGAGGCTGCTTGGCACATGAGTGATACAACATACCCCAATGCAGCAGCATGGGGGCTGTCGTGTCTTGGAGAAAACAAAAATGGGGAAATGGGAGAAGAACTACTGTAGAGCTTTAGTGCATGAACCAAAAATACTTTGGCCAAACATGTACAGTCCTGGCTATCAAATTACTCCATAAAACAAATAAGATGACAGACCACCTTATGTGTCTGCCACAATGAAAAGAAGTCAAAATCTCCCACCTACTCTGGATACATCCGATCAGTAAACAGCAAACTGATGGACGTGACAAACAGCAGCCGGGACACAGACAGATTCACATTTCTAAAGCACAGTGGTGCTTTAGAAAAAAATAATACAGCAAGTATGTCGTGCATAGAGAAATATCATATATCACTACAAAGCTAGCTGACCCACAGACTTGACAAATCTGTTATTGTTTCCATATTCCTTGGCAAAGCAGAGGCATGTTAAAACCATTTTCCTCCTACTTAGTCATCTCCTTGTTGGTTCCAGGTCAACATACACTTCCAACAAATCACATCCTACTGAGCAGAAGAGAGCTGTTAGTTTAAAAAGCATTTTTATGACTAGAAGTGAAATTCTTGAAAAAAAGCTCTTCATGCAATACTGATTCTATATAGAGAGAGAACATAATACCCTACCATAGTTATGTTCTGCTACTTTAATGAGCAATCCTAACAACTCCTTGAGCACTTTCCAACCTGAAAAGTATTAATATTTCTTTTTGACTTCTGTATTTCCACTTGTCAATCCCCCTTTCAATCAGTAACAGCAGGCATTACAAAATAGGTCCAAGTTGTTAATTTATTATTACAGACAGCAAAGCACATGATGATATGCTCTCTA